TAAAACTGTGTTAAGCCATGGTCACTCAATGGGACTTTATATGCATGAAGAGTTAAGCTTTGGTGGCTGGGCAGTTTTAAACGTTGCATTAAAAAGTGCCATTCTAATAATTCAATTCATGTAAAGTATTAACATTCTGGGGATGGGATGGGGGAGGACTCATGAGGCAGTCTGAAAACGTCACAGCTGTATAATTGGGAGCAGAAAGATACTATATATACACAAGGTTCAGAGCACTTCTGAATTATCTTTTAAATATGCTGAGCTAAGTTAATATGATGCCTTGAGAAAAGATGGCTGGGAGGTGAATGTGCTCGTTTGCTGCATATACTGGAAGGGTTATAGCTCTGACCTGAAGAATTCAAAATAATGACCTTAAGTTACAAGAAGGCAGATTCCAGCTGAATATCAGGAGAAAGAACTTCCCTATAATAAGAGAAGTTTGACGTTTGGATGACTTATTTAAGCAAGTGCTGAGTTCCCTTATCTTAAAAGTTTTCAAGGAAAGGCTGGATAAACATCTATCAGGGATATCTTAATTTTACTTTTTTATCTGGTGCAGTAGATTGGACTCAAAGATCTAAAAAGTGTCTTTCAACTCTATGATGCTGTTTGTGTGTATAAAAGCATCTTTCTGACTACTGATGGATATGGGATATTGGCATTTGGATCTAAGCTAATCGCAGACAGCCCCATTTTGTGTATGTTGCTGTTTGTTTTTAACTGTTTTCATTGCCTTTGGATTTTATAAATCTAAGAGTCTGTTGGAGTGTACAAGTATAACAAATTTAAATAAATTTAGACATAATTTCTTACAAGAAATTCTGAAAATAGAATGATATCTGTTATCCTTCGTATGAACACACATTGCAGTTCACTGCAGATATTCAAAAGCCACTACCAAGCTTCAAAGTGTTGAAACTATGTTAAATTATGCCCACAATTTACAAGATGCAGCTCTAGTTATTACTTGTAGCTCAATTATTTCTGTAGCGTTTCTATTTCTGTCAAATAATCAAATCCTTTCCAGGAAATCTTTTGACTAACAAAAGTTCTTTGTATTTATTTCTCATTTTTAAGAACAATAGTAAATCTATCTTTAGTTAAACCTTGCAGGTTGATGATCGAAATAAAGTCTTGACTATATTCAGTTAGTGGCGTGCAAAATATTTTAAAATGAAATTGCCTCATTTAGAGTTCAAGACAAGGTTTTGAGTTTAAAACAACTGATTTGCATTGAAACAATCACTTTGGAAGTGTTTGAATAGGTGAATTCTAATTGTACGATTAGATAGGTGTGATAGGTCACATCCAATTGTATGATTCTATGATTACTGGATATTGTTTACTCACACAATGAAAATTGCATGTTTTGAAAGTTCTGCCACCAAAAGGAAAGTAATTGGTGCTTATTTTCAGCAGGAGTGGAGAAAGTAAAGCAGGAAATCCACCAATCAGAAGCCATAGCAACCACTGTCTGTATCAGTGGCAGTATCATTGCCAAATATCAATAGCTTTTTCTTAAGCTGGGTTCATTTTCTCTCAGTATTAGTAAAGGTGACAAGCTGTTTAAAGCCATAGTGCAGAAAATTGTCCTAAATACTATAGAGGCATTCCACTTAGAGAGTAACCTTCGCAAATTTCTTTTACTACTAATGGAATAGGATGTTATGGTAGCATAGGGAACTTCCATCATGGAACCCTGTTAATAGAGAGAAAACTACCATTATTTGATAGCCTTCAGTACCAGATGGGATGACCTTGTGTGGACATTCCATGATGGGTCCCCTATAGAAGTAACCTGATTTTGTCCCCTTAATAATATTAAACTGTAGCAGAGATCCCTAAAATCTTCAGCTCTTTGACTCTTTTATGAAGTTTCAGATTGTTCATCAACCCTCAAACATTGATTATATAAGAGTAATTCAATAAATATTACTTTAACTACTTCTATTAATAATACTAATAGTAATCAGAACCCTGGGGCTCAATATTGACCACTTTAGAGAACCCTGTAATGGTATATAGGAATGATCTTGAGGGATGAGGGGAAAAGATTCTGCCTAGGAAACTATCAGACAAGAGAAGGAGGACCTTGCAAGTGCTTAACAATCAGAGAAAGAAATTTAGGAGGAACTCGCTCTAATTTATCAGGATGTTAAAAGCAATGGCAGGAGATTTGTATTTTCAGACTTGCAAGATTCTGTAATGCAGTCTTAGAATAAAATAGAATTAGCTCTTCTGGTTATATGTCCTATCTGTTTATCTAGGAGGCCTGACATCAATCTTGGAAGTTTGAAAGTACTAATCTCCTGGAAGAATGGAGAAGGAAAAAAGATTACTCACATAAAAATAGCTGCTACCCTGGTGACAATAACTCAAGCTTTTGTAAGCTCTGGAAAAGACTTTACAAAGTGCTGAACACAGGGCTGATGATCATCTCAAAGTTATAATCAGTTTAAATGAAGAAGCCCAGGTTTTGGGTGGGACAGCTGTTATACTCAATCTGGTACTGCAGGCTTGGTGCCCAGGTTGCACAAAGATGTCTCTGATAAACTGAAAGACAAGGAAGACAAGTACAAAAAAGTGGCAAGAGGGACACATAAATAAGGCAGAGTATCAGCAGATAGCCTGAATCTGCAAAGATGAAGTCAGGAAAGCAAAGGCTCAAAATGAAAAAAGACTTGCAACAAAAGTCACAGATAATAAAAAAAAAGTTTCAACATACACATAACAAGGAAAAACTCAAGGAAACAGTAGGTCCACTTAACAGAGAAGATGGCAAGAAAGTAACAGGCAGCAGAGAGAATGCTTAACTCCTTCTTTGCATCAGTCTTCAATCAAAAAGAAACTATAGCCCAACCTACCAAAATCCTAATCATAAAAGACAGACTAGAAATTAAAATAAGCAAGAAAATGGTTAGAGAACACCTATCTGATCTTGACAAATATAAATCATTGGGATCTAATGGATTACATCCCAAGGTTCTGAAGGAACTGTCAAATGCTATCTCAGAACCATTGTATTATATATTTCAAAAATCCTGGAACACTGAGTAATTACCTGAGGATTGGAAAAGAGCTGATGTGGTTCCCATCTTCCAAAAAGGGACAAAAAATAGACCCAGGAAACTACAGACCAATCAGCCTAACATCAATATCTGGGAAGATACTGGAAAAGATAATCAAAAAACAGATCTGTGAAATCTAGAAACAAATAAAGTTTTAGCTAAAAGTCAGCATGGGTTTGTTAAAAACAGATCATGCCAAACCAATCTTATTTCATTCTTTGACCAAATGACTAAATTAGTAGAACAGTGAAATGCTGTGGACATAGTATACTTAGACTTCAGCAAGGCATATGGCAAAGTAATCCACAACCTACTAGAAAAATGTGGGATAGACAACATCACCATCAGAAGGTTATGTAATTGACTGATACTCAACGAGTCATCCTTAATGGTACTACATCTACCTGGAGGGAAGTAAGCAGTGGGGTAGCATAAGGTTCAGTCTTAGGCCTAGTACTCTTCAGTATCTTCATAAATGACTTAGATGAGGGAACTGAAGGGGAACTCATCAAATTTGCAGATGACACTAAGCTGGCAGGAATAGCCAACACCCGAGAAGATAAGCTCAGGATCCAAAATGAACTTGACAGATTTGAACAATGGGCCCTATTCAACAAACAAAATGAAATTTAATGTGAAGAAAAGCAAGGTTTTACACATGGGCAGGAAAAACCAAAGGTACAAGTACAAATTAGGTGAAACCTAGCTCAAAAACAATAACTGTGAGAGGGATCTTGGAGTCCTAGTAGACGATCACTTAAACATGAGCCAAGAGTGTGCAGCAGCAACCAAAATAGATAATACAATCCTTGACTATATAAAGAGAGGCATAGAATCAAAATCATGTGAAGTATTAGCACCGCTTTATAAATCCTTAGTAAGGCCATGCCTGGAATACTGCATCCAGTTTTGGTCACCACATTTCAAAAAAGATGTTGAGACTTTGGAAAAAGTGCAAAGAAGAGCAACTAAGATGACTAAAGGCCTGGAGACTAAAACATATGAAGAACAGTTGCAGATTTGGGAATGTCCAGTCTAGAGAAAAGAAGGACTGGGGGGACATGATAGCAGTATTCCAGTATTTGAGAGGTTGCCACAAAGAGGAGGGGGTCAACTTATTTTCCAAAGCACCAGAGGGCAGGACAAGAAACAATGGATGGAAACTAATCAAGGACAGAAACAACCTGGAATTAAGGATAAACTTCCTAACAATGAGGACAATTAACCAGTGGAATGTCTTGCTTCAGAAGTTGTGGATGCTTCATCACCAGAGGTTTTTAAGAAGAGACTGGACAGCCTGAAATGGTATATGGTCTCCTGCTTGAGCAGGGGGTTTGACTAGGAGACCTCCAAGGTCCCTTCCAGCTCTATTCTGATTGAATTGAACTGAATTATCTCTGGGACCATCTGAGATAAGTAGAATGTATCCATGCAGTCTGCACATCCCAAGCAGGAAGATTGGAAGATTCCCCTGTGGAGTTCAATGCAACGTAAGAGCCAGTGCTTTTCTATTATGATGTCAACCTCTGGACACCTCTCATTCAGATCTATTTGGTGGCCTATTCCCTGAAAGTTAGGCAGTAATGAAGACCAAGTTGCTTCATAGAACTTTTAATTATTAAGACTGTTGCTGGAAAAGGACACAAAGTAAGGTTTTACAGCAGACATGTCAAACTCGCAACTTCACGTGACATTGCGTGATGTATCGGAGCTTTTTCCCCATTACCGGCAATGGGGTGGGCACGGTTTCCTGGTGACGCGTCCGGCCCGCAGGCCAGCAGTTTGACACCCCTGTTTTACAGTATTGTGAATTTTAATTGCTGTAATTATAATACTGGTGTTTTGGCTGATTTTAAACTTGTAAAACTTTCGGAAGAGTTGTAGGAGTATGGTGATCTAATAATTAATGTTTCTCCTCTTCCCATTTAGATTAAAGCAATACAACTCAGGATAACAAAGCACCTTCAAATTTACAAGCATGGAAAAGAAATTCTTTGCAGGGACATGCAAAGGTGAGAAAGAGTTCTGTCTGCTCTTGCAATGTGTGCTGAATAAATATCATTAGAAATGTGCAAAACAGACTTGCTGGTCTCTGAAAAGATCAGTTTTCTCCCAAGAGCATTTCAGGCATTGCTTCATGCATTTCTGGAAGTGTGTTGACTAGAACAGCAAGTTGATTGTGGTCCTGCAGATACAGTTGGGCATCTCTTACTCATTTCAGCTGAATGTTTTTGAGGAAAGTGGAAAAATTACCCAATAGCCTTTGGCAATTAATTCTACTGTGGGTTTAATAACCATTTCCTGAAGACTTGTAAAGTGGTTTAAGGTTTGTTGCTGAATTTATTGTGACAAATGTTGAAAAATATATCTTTCTTTGGATTAGTTATATTTAAAATATAGGAAACAGCAATGACTGAAAATTAACATAACAGAAAAGAATCTTGAAGAACTTTTAGTTAAGTTCTGTTTTATTCATATTTGCTTTCTGTATTTACAGTGGTTATGTTGACGAAACTATTTTTAAGATATTACTTCCAGCCATACAAATGTCATTCAGGACATAAATATTAAAATTTGGATGTTTAGAATTTAAATCTTCCCTTGATACTGAAGATATATTTTCATATACTTTCAAATTTTGTATACGTGTAGCTTTACTACTAGATAATTTTTATTTTTATTTTCTGTTGTGTGCTATGTTTTTTACATTTAGATTTTATAGTATTTATTTAAAGGATTTATATGGCAGCCCAACTCACAAAATTATGACTCCAGGTAGCCTACAACAATAAAAACAATAAAACAAAATCAATAACAACACAAAACACAACAACACCACCACACACTCCATGCCAACATCAACTATACCTTACAGTCAAGCTTTTTTAATCCCAGTACCTGAAGTAACAACCAGGTTTTAAAGTCTTCCCAAAGTCTAACAGTGTTGTGGCCAGTCGAGTCAATTTTATTGAGTACTATTTTCTTAGATAAGAATTAAATATTAAAAAATGTAAAAGACCTGCAGCATACCCTGAAACTGTGCCTGTAGTACTTTACTAAAAGCACATAGGCTTCACTTAAAGTAGGGTCTCTATTAGTTAATGGAAGAGAAGAAGTATAGTTATTTTGAAGGAGACAATGCACAATTAATTCATGTTCTTGGAATATCATGTATTGATATATTTTGCACTAGTCATTTTTCTAAAGTTAATTGTCTGGATGTTCTAGGTTGCCTAATTTCTTCCTATACAACGCTATGACACTATTTTACTTGGATTGAATTTGTTGGGTGGGTTTCCAAGAGGCACAGCTTCTCTATATCCTATTCTATAACATTCCAGCTTTATGAAAAATGTGTTTGCTTAAAATCATAATGTTTTCCCTATTATGTTATTTTATAAAACCCTAAACTCAATATAGGAGAAGGAATGGCAGAACCTGGGGGTGGAGTCAAAAGAGGAATCAGCCTAGAATCTCTACATAGCCACAAACAGACTGGCCAACTCTTCTTGAATTCTATTGACCTTTATCTAGTGCCTGAATAGTACTGTTAGTTGAGTAGATTCTTGTGCATACACATGATTAATAATAAATCACTTTAATTGGAACTTCATATATGATCCTGGTCTTTCACTTTTGATATTCTAATCATGACATGTTCATTGTTAAAAAGTTTTTCTAGCTTTTTTTAAAAAACAAAAACAAATCTGTGAATTGATTCCAACTTGAAAAATACCATCAGTATTGCAAAATATAGTTCTTATTTCTTGCAGAGTCTGAAAACACCTTCCTTTATTTCAAAGCAAAACTCTATGAACAATTTCAGAGCAGACACTTCCTAATAATTTTTCTTAATGTCCTGGAACATAGATTGCAATCCATATTCTGTATCAGGTAAATTACCAAGTAAAAGTTATTTTTTCGGAGGGGGGGGGGAGAAAAGATATGAACAATTTCACTAGCAGAATTCTTTTAAATATATTTGTATTCATTTGCTGATAAGTTAATACTTCCTTATGGCAGGTTGCCATAGATCACCCAGGCAGCCCAGCAGCGCTCATGTTTTTACTAGTATAGCAAAAATCAGTAGACTTTTTTCTGTTTGTTTAGGTGGTGACTTAAGTGCATGGAACTAATCTTGGAGGAATCCAAATAGTGATCCAACCACTATCATTTCTGTTTCAAAAAAAAAAAAAAAAAGCTCTGGCAACAATAATTCATGCTTAGAGTTACAAAAGTCTTCTTGTAATTTGTTTCATTAGGGGTGATCTTTGAAGGCAGTTTGGAAATTACAGCTGGTCCAAAATGCAGCTGTGGACTGATGGGTGCTGATATAGAGTAATCTTGAGGGAGCTGTACTGGCTAAGTTAGGATTCTGGGCCCAATTCAAGGTGTCAGTTATCACTTGCAAATCCCTTTATGGCTTGAGTCTTTGTTACCTTTGGTTAGTATAGTTCCTTTGTCCGTTCATGCAAGCCAAGAGAGCAGGGTGAGAACCTCCCTCCCATTAGTTAAGCTGAGGAGAATCAGGAAGGAGGCCTTTATGGTGATAGCTTCTTTACTGTGCAAAAGTCTCCCTTCCCCTCTTCCCCCAAGGTGAAAATCTCTCCTTTTTTGTCTTTTTGGGATGTTTCTCTTTTTCTGGAAAGCACTTAAGACTGCATCTCCAACAAGCATTTAATGTAGGCAGTACAACCATTTGGTGACCCAGGAACTAATTAGTGAAGGGGTCACATGATGAACTTCATTTTGTTTTATTTTAACGTTAATGTTTGGTGGTAGTTTATATATATTTTATTTTATTGTGATCCACCTAGAGCCCCAGGAGGAAAAAAACATATCAATTATTAGAAATAAAAAAGATAGCCAATGAAAGTTCTGAGCATTCAGCCCCAGTTCAGTGTTTCAAACACATTTTAAAAGATTGTAATGATTTAACTCTGTAGAAGAAGTCATAGGAGTTGAAAGGGTCATTGGGTTCAAGTCCCTGCTCTATACAAGAATTCAAATTAAAATATTCCTAACAGATGGCAGCTCAATTCCTGTTTGAACATATCCAGTAAAAGGAAGACCACTTCCTTTTGGCTGTATTATAAAAATATTCTTACAGATTTTTGTTATATAATTCACCTAGAATCTGCCTTTCTGCAATTTAAATCCATTATTCTATATCTTGCCCTCCTGATTGATAGGGAACAGCTCTCAAATGATTTAACTCCATATTCAGCTAGGCTGGCAAATGCAGCAGTGGATAGTACCGTATACGTTCAATGATTGTACACAAGACATTTTCCCCTCCATGGATTGTATTAGTAAAGAGGCTTTGTACTTCCCAGTGATTCTATGATATATACTTTGGGATCTGTATAAGTCTAGGATGTGAAATTTTGAGTTCTCCTTCACTAGAGTAGTCATCAAATTGAGACACAGATGCTATAGAACAGTGGTGGCGAACCTATGGCACGCGTGCCAGAGTCGGCACTCAGAGCCCTCTCTGTGGGCAGGAGCACCATACCCCGGAATGGCAACTGTCCCTCTTCAATCAGCCACCTGTTAACTCGCTGAGGTCACACATGGCCAGATGGATCCCAGCACCTATGCACTCACTGACCTCTTGTGTCCAGTAGCTGATGGTGTCAAGGCAGCAGCCGCCCCAGCCCCTGCCTCACCTTGCCCTGTGACAATGGCACCCCTGCCCTGCCTCGCCATGCTTCGCCTCTACCCAGCAGGACGAGCCTCCTACCCACCGCCCCACCTGCCAGAAACCCCCTGGATCTCCCCCAACCCTGCCCGGCCCCCACAGGCATCCCTCCCCACGAGCAACATCGAGGTGATCACACCCACCTTGGCCATACCCAGCCAGTCTGCCATGACCATCACAGCCACGCCCACCCAGTGGACCCACCTGGCACCCGGCAATAAATAAGTGATTTGGGGTTGCAGTTTGGGCACTTGGTCTCTAAAAGGTTTGCCATCACTGCTATAGAAGTAAGGCCCTTTTCAATTTTGTGATTCTACTGGATTTGATACTGGAGAAAAATGTTGAGAATTCCTTACTCTGCAAATAAAATAAAATTTTCACTACTAGTTAAAGTAAACAAGACTATAGACTGAAAGTTCCAATAAGAAAGGTAAATGTTAAATATTTTGGCTATAAGACTCTCTGGAGAAACCCCTGAAAAATTAAAAGCAATCATAAAAGAGGCCAAGAGCAGACAAGGTAGTTACTATCATTGATGACACAGGCATAAGTTTTAGGACCATAAAGAAGCAATCACTGACAGACAATTCTGATGAAAAAATGGTTTTAAGATAAAAAAAATGGAAGCTATTGAACAGCAATAATGCATCTGGCTTGGGGTTGCATTTCATGAAATGACTTTGCAAAACTGAAATGTATAACTTGTAATTTATCAAATGGATGAATCTGACAACAATGTTTGGAAAACCCATGGAGTGGTAAATGCCATTGTACCTCCTGTTTAGGTTATTAAATACTGAACAAGCCATGATATTTTGGTCTCTGACCATGTTTGAATATGTAAGTGACAAGTCATGCAGGTCCTTCATAAAGACGACAAAAATCATTTTCTTTTATATCCAATTTCTGGCATTCTTAACAATGTTTAAGCTATTGGAATTAAATCCATCAGTATAAAGATATCTAACCTTGGTTTGGATGGCACTCCAATTATCTGGCTGGCCAAATGAATGAGGGCAGGGAATGCTTTGGTTGGAAGCACAAAGGTATGTAATTCTTCTTGCATCACTGATTTTCACCTGAAAATGCTCCCCAGATTATTCTAAAAGCTTCTAGCCCAGTCAGGCTTCAAAACAGGAAATGACCTTATCATGAAAAGGCAAACAAACCTGCATTTGTAGGGTAGAATCAGTACAGAACTCCCTTTTGTCTGTTGATTTTTCTCTTCATATGTCTGTACATCCTCAGGTTCTGATTTGAATTATACTATTATTGAGATAATATCTGAAGTCTAGCTCTTGAAGTGCACTT